TCTGACTTTTGCTTAGGTGTCTTCAAGAGCCTCTTGACTCCTGAAAGTACTTCAGGAGGTTCAGACCTTTCCTTAGTTGTCTTCAAAAGCCTCTTAATTTCCAAAAGTTGTCTGACTGGCTCCGATTCTTGTTGTAGTTTTTCTTCTTCCATTCCCATTATATTTCTTTCATTTAGTGATACCACTAAATTATCATGAATGGGTATTTGTGACACTTCTTCCAAGGCTGGGGATATTATATCTTGATTGTGAGCTCTTTGGCTTGAAATATTAACATCCAAAACAGACTTTTTTTCTAACAGAAATAGAAAAATGATATAGTAATGAAACTTCATTCACTACATTAACAGAAATACTTAAATGTGAAGAAATATTACTTAAAATAATTATATATTAGACTCTTTGTATGTTTTAGAATGAAACAAAAAAATGTAAAAACTAAATTACACCAAGAATATTAAAAACAAATTAAATCAAATTAAAGTAACTGTTGCTCATAATGAAAAACATATTATAATTGGGATTTATCTTAAGCAAACTGAGTACCTGAAACCTGGCAACTTCTAAGTAGCAGAATGACCAAAATCTACAACCATCTAGGAAACCTTCTTCCAATCAGACTAGTGTATGTTTATTCCACTAATATAAATTGTGAAATCAAATACAGAAACAGTTGTATTTCTCTAACCTGAGATCTAAATTTGAAGCCATTAAAACTGTTGCACCTTGAATGAATCTGTTACCTCAGCTGGCTAATTATTTCATTTTCCCACAAAATATATTTACAGGGTTAACACAAGGAATGATAAATTATGTCCTGTTTTCATTATCTTGTTTGAATAAGACCATATTCAATATTTACAACTTGATGCAGCTCAGTGACTTAATAACCCACTATCATTCTCGGCCTTTGCTAATCTGGTTTGTATCCCTAAACAGATTACTCTTCTTACTTAAAGCAGCACAGTAGTTAAAGCAACACCTGAAATTCTGATAGGGACTGCAAGGAAAGACTGACCTGAAATTTCTACAACAATAAAGGAGCTCCACAGAGCCTTAACAGTTTTAGAGAGGTCTTGATGCAGGTTTCCTTCCATTCTAAAAACCAAACCTCATTGATTTGTAGTACTCTGGGATTAATGACAAAGTAACTTACGTTAAATGGCTATATGAAAGTAATTATTCAGAATGTATAGACAATAAAACATACCAAATACTTCTGATGAATGTATTTCTGATATCTGAGTTTCTGGTATAAAACTTTTCTGTTTTCCATCCGATGGACTGCAGAACATTTCAGCCAACCCTGCAAATAGCATTTAAATCTATTAATGTTCAGTTAGCATGTAATGAAATGCAAGAGCAGATATAACCATAAAGAATATATTTTCTTCACTTGATTGCTCCCTAGATTTGAAATGCAATCAGATTCCAGAATTATTTTTAAATATTAATATTCATAGCATATTTAAAGGGAAAGGACTTGTCACACCATTTACCAGGATAAAAATTCCTCCTTCAAGCTGTTTCAGATTGTGGATACTTTCTATCAAACACTATCTTAAGAGCAAATTCTACTACAAATTATACAAGTAGTTAATTTGCCTTTCAAAATAAAATAAAACTTGTGATTCCTTCTATAGTGCCATAAGTTAATATTAAGTAGATTTCTGTCAAAGTGACTTATGCTTATCAAGTACAATTTGTAACAAATGGTGTGTGCCTATACATGAATGTGTATCTCTCATAGATGTTTAGAGAACAAGGAAGAAGAAGAAGAAAAAAATCATCTTTTCCTTATCCTCTGTTTGATGTCTAAGATTTATTATGACTGCTGGATTGGAAGTGCCAGGCTAGTGAGTGCTACCTCAACAATTCTTCCCATAAAAACACAGCCTTGTTTAAAATGCCATCTTGACCCATGAAAAGCAGTTTTCCCAGTTAAAGAAAAGCTTTGTTTAAAGTAGAATCTTGGCCAATGAGCAATTTATAGTTTTCTATGAATAAAAAAATGAAATACAGGTAGTCCTCTCAACTTACTATTGTTAAGATATTTAAAACTGGACAGTGCATAAGAATACAGTTATAGTTAATTGGTTCAAAAGAGCTGGCCACTGCATGAGGGAATCTGAACTGTGATTGGTTGCCACGGGTAAAAGGGGAGTTTCCTTGTTTTCTGCCTTTTTCCTCTGTGTGCTCTCCATTGATTTACCTGATGATGCTTCTGTTCTTATTTACTGGAAATAAATTTAAGGCTACAAGCTTGTGTCAGCATCTGTTTGGACACCAGATGCACAATTCCCTGACAACTGAACCCATTTTTTTTTTTTGGCTAAGCCTCTTGTGAAGCATCTGATAATACCCCTGAATTAAGACTGAATTGTCTCACAAAGGAAAGGCTTAGGAGCTTGCTTGCAAAATGTCTAACTTCCAAAAAATAGTAAACCTTAACAAACCAAACCTCTTCTTTCTTGCTTCAGTAGAAAAAACTATTTTACGTATCTAGATTACTGATGTTCTGCAAGATGTCAGGATAACAGTGGCATACAAGTAGGCCTGAAAGGCTTGGCATTCTACTTCCAGGCACCCATTTGTATCTACATATAGCTGGACTATTTTGCTGAGGTCCAGATGGCCCACTAATTATAAGAAAACATCCCAATGCATCTGGAACTAGGAATTGGTGGCTAGATATCAAGCTATTAGAAAACCCTTGACTATTCCTAGGTCCAAAAAGGATTAGATGTTAATTGGAGTAAGAACCTTAAAGATCTGCTTGCTTAAAAAACTGAAACTGCTGTGTGAAAACAATGTCTAGGATTCTGTGGCGGTCAATTCCTAATTCCTATCCATTTCAATTATTTTCCCTTTTCTTTGTCTAACTGGCATGAGAAGTGAACAAAAAAACAGCACCAGCAAACTCACATCTAAGGAGTATTTTCCACAACTCAAATAATCATCAGTGTAGAATGCTTTTTATTTTGGAAGACTCAGTAAGATTTGGGGAAAAGAATAAAAATCAACTGAGGAGCAATTGCACTTTAATCTTTGGTATTTATTAGGGCAGCCCCTGCTGAAATGCTCTCCAAAACATCAGGCACAATGATAGTCTCTTCAGTTAAGCTTCCCCACAGGGAGAGGAAGTTACTTTTCAAGCTCTTGAGAAAACAAAGTACTTGCATCAGCAAGGTAACTTAGCAAGAATTGCTTCTCTGATCCACAAGTATGAGACTACATGTAACGCTATAACAGGAGAAAAACTGATGTTTTCTATTGTATTCTGTTATCTATAAAACGTTCTAATGTTAGAAAAGAGAAGATCAGCTACAAGGTGGATGGATTCAATTGCAAGTGTTGATGAATGCACCGTTGATAGATCAACATGGGGAAGATCTATCTTGTTACTCGAGTCAAAAATAACTTTGTGGCACATAATCAATATTCTATGTGTTGCTTTATGTCCAGGTCCATGTGTCTCTTGGCTCACCAAAACAATTGATAACCTGATTGTCCCCAGCAATAAGGCACGGTAGGTTTCCCTAAACTGACTGCAGGTAATAGGGAGGGAGCTACCTAGCTTAGTATGTCCTAAAAATGGTGACCCAACCACTGGAAAATTCTCCAGTAAATCCAAGAAAAGTGAGATTTCTGGGTCTCAGAAATTAAACTGCCCAAATTAGACAGAAACACAATAAATTAAAAAGGGGGAAAGATAGCATTTCTCTTACAACATGTGATCAGGGGAAGCAAGGCCACAGTATATGGCCCACCATTGTCTAATATTTTACCTCCAATAATTCAGTCGCTCCCAATAGCATGTTGGAAAGCAGTTCAAATGTAATTAAATGACTTTTAATTAAAATCTAATTGTGGATGGGGGGGGGCTGTTTACATGGATGCTGCCTTTGGTAGATTTAATATAGATAGTAGATTTAGTGGATTTGATATAACTTTACAAACCAACTAACCTAGGGTATGTAGTGCAATAAAGACAGAGTGGTCATCATAAAAAAACTATGTCAGTCTTACATTGAAAGTAATAATACTTTATTTAGCAAGATGTGCAAATATTTTAGTTCAATATGGTAATTTCAAGAGTTCTGATTGTGAAATAAAGCTTGGTGTTTTGTATCATTTTGAGTGTTTCCACTGATCTCAGCAACATTAATCAAGCTGTTTTACAGGAGGCTTTTAAACATGTTTCATCTACAGTATCAGGAAACCAAGCTCTTGGTTTAGGATGGACAAGGTGATGTGGGAGATAAATGTTGTTACAAAAGGAGTTAAGCATGCAACTCCAAAAAAGAGCTTACTCAGTGCTGACTTAGATAATAATTGGTTTTTTTAAAAAGCAAAAGGGAACGTTTGCAATAGAACTTGAGAGCACAAGCAGCTGGATAAATGGGCTGCATGTATTATATTGCAGCTAAGTAATATAAAGGTGAGTGTGCATGCAAACCTTTTGCACCAGCTTAGATTATATGAAGACCACTTATACAATGATTTTTTGGTTTTAAAATTTTGAAGAACAAGAACATCTCTGCAAATCTTTCTCCGTCTACCAGAAATCTTGATTCTTCCTTCCAAAATGGATCCAGATATAGGCTGCTAAGGGTGGGGGAAGGATTTAAGGCTTAGAGTAGTATTGCTTTCAATTCTAAATTTCTATATTTCCATTACCATTCTTAATAGCGCAATATGCACCAAAGCCGCACCATCAACATTATCACTGATCGTGCCCCTTCTGCTGAGAATCTCTTATTATCAAATAGTTTCTTGTAATTCTCCAGAAGATATAAAGACTGAGTTCAGGCTTATGATCATTTAAACCTCATTTCTAGAACTGGAAATAGTTACACAATGGTCAACTGTATCAGTAAGTATGCTATTATGCTACACCATACTTTGCTAATAGATTACATTCTTACACAATCATAGCACCATCTGTTGGCAAAGCAAGGAGTTGATATATTGGTAACCTTTAAAACTATCAACAACCCATTGTAAATCTAATTTCTCATAGATCACAATTTCTTAGTCAATAAAATCAACCTTGGTTTTATTTCCTCTCTGTAGATAAACATACATAGGAATGCCTGCTCGTTTCAAAAAAAAGGTGCTAATACATCTGAATTTCTTCTGAGCATTAAGATGACCAAATGTAAGAGTATGTGCACTAATATTTAAAAAAACTACTACAATGTGGTATTTCCATTTATATTACCTCAACAGACTTAGGAGCATCTTGATAAAGCAAACTTATCGCATAAATCTATATTATCCGCCCGAAGAACCATTCCGAGCTCACATCATCTATCTGTTAAGATGCTTTGGGGGCAAACGTTTCAAGATAACATTTTGTATACATTTAAGGGATGTCTCTAGTGTGCAGAATGAAAATAATGCTTTTCTGTAATTTTTAAAGCATTTACATAAAGTGTTGAACGTGCAATTATTTTTTCTTGTCTGCACTAAGGCATCCCACTCTGCTTTTTATCTGTTATATAATTATCAACCTCTAACTTAGAAGGGGATGGAACATCTCCCTTATTGTTTCTGGCTATCTGGCAGATGTTATGGGTGCCATCGATCAAGGAACATCATCTTGTGAGTCCCAAGAAATGAACCTTTTCTGTCATGATGCCATTCGTTTAGAACATCATTCCGTCAGAAATTAGACTGGACCTGAATCTTTCACAAAGCTCTGAAAACATTTTTCTGTTCTCAGGTACGGGGATTATTAATTTGAGCCTATAAGATGGCTATGTTAATTGTTGTTTGATTGCTTTTTAAAAAAACTTTGTTGCTAGTTGTGTATTTTACTTTGTTGTTCAGTTTTTAAATTTAATTGCTATACGCTACCCAGAACCACTATGTTGAGATGATGGAAACATGCAATAAATAAATGACATGCTATAAGGACAATTTTCTGAATCTTGAAAAAACTATTACTATTATCATCTAGTTAAATATTATATACTGCCATTATCTCTACATAGTGTCAGTTGTAGAAAATAGTTTGTCAAAACATACATGTTTTTTTTCTCTATGACATATTTTATTTTTAAACAGGAAAGGCGAACTCATGTCATTTGGCATGTAAACTTGTATTAAATGAAGTTTACCTGTAAAGCTTTCATTGAGGTCACAATGCTTTTTCAAAGGATAATTGATCACCACCTTAGGAACTTGTGCAGTTATATTCAAAATTCCAGTATGAGCTTTTCCAATCACAATTGGAGCAGGAGAATTTGCATGTCCTGTTGTGAAGTGACCGCTGATTTTTCTTTTAGGTGTTTTTAATGAACTGTTCTTCTAAAAGCAGAATATATTAAAAATCAGTTTAATGAAACATGTCACTATATATACTGATATAAATTTAAAATCCTAGTGATAATAGTTTTACATTTGCATCTGATGGGATAGCTAGAATCAGGCAGTGACGGGCTGCAAAAGGAAGATTGTTGAATTTATATAGGTGAGACACAAGTAGGGAAGATAGTTTAGCAGACTGAAAGCCTCAGAAGTTCAAGGAAAAGCTGACCTGGGAGAAGAGACTGGGAAGAACACTCTTTCATTTCACCCAATACTTTATTATATATTAGTAACATTAAGTGTCCATTAATCAGGACCACAAAGAGGAAGGGAAGCTAGTAAAATAAATTCTCATGTAAGGAGAGCTCTCACATAGACATTGGACAAGGACAGAGAGATGGGAATGTGGAATCAACAGAATAAGTCATAGCTATTCTACTTTTAGCTTCCAACCTTAAACAAAGTCCCTGAAGGGAAAAAACAAAGAATACAAATATTCCTTTGGGGAGGGGGATGTTTCAGAGTGATAAAAACTTAAAAACTAAAGGTAAAAAAATAAAAGAATCAATAAATTGTTCACCAAAAAGAGAATTAAGTTAAAATAAGATAAAGGGCAAACCTTTAAAAATCTAAAGGATAAGGTTTAAATCGGGTACAATTAGTGTTTTTGGTAGCGAAAGGACTCTGAATAGTCTTGAAATATAAGGTTAATCTATACGAACACATAAACGTTAAAATTTGAATTATAAAAATAAACACAATTCTTAAACTTTTTCCAAATAATTTTCTTCTATCAAATCAACTACAAATATTGTCACAAATTTACTAGGTATAAACTTTAAAAATGCTATCCCAAAGGTGGTTTTCAAAAGGCAACTGGACTTTCTTGTTTTTTTTTCCCTTGAAAATGTTTTACTTCTTATCCAAGAAGCTTCTTCAGAACTGAAGTGAAACGTTTTCAAGGAAAAAAACCAAGTTCAGTACCTTTTGAGAAGCATTTTTGGCACAATCATGATCTGAATGATTGAGACTCTCTACATTTTATAATACTTCATTTAAATTTTCGAATTACAAGAATGTCTAAATTTGTATTTTCAGTTGGCATTGATTATTACTAATTCATTTGCAATGGTTTTTTGCTGAGAAAATTAAGCAAAATTTTGGCTTAAAGTTCTCATCCTCATAATGACTACAAGTTTTCTTCTTCTCCATACATAATAAAACAATACAATTCTTAGTGTAGCTCCTCTTTGAAGAAGGGGAACAATGCCATCTTTCATTTGCTGCAGATAAATGGGCTGTAGGTCAGTTGATATAATTGTGTGGAGACTAGTGGTCTTATTCAACATAGCACTTTCATTTTAATTATGGTGCCAGGGTCACCCCCCTAGCATTCCAAACCAAAGTATTGATAATCTCATTGGGCACAGTTATATTTGGGCCCTGGTACAGGACAATGTATTTTTACATTGTATTTTTTCCATGTTACCTACATTTCCTTTCAATCTTTTTTTGCTGCTCAAAAGAAACAACATATATCTCAAAAGCTATTCAGCAACTGCCTCATTTCTTTCCCTCATTTCTTTCATAATAAACTGAAACATTCATGTGTTGTTTGAAAAGCAGTATAGTAACTGGAAGGCTATTACAATCGTGCTTATTATTTCTATTGACTAAGAAAAATCAAAGCATGGAAGTTCTTATATAATTGCGATAATTATATCAATTTAGAAGTATCAAATACATTTCATCAACACATTCATAATAAGATGAAATTTGGCAATATCAATATTTGTTAAATATTTTAATCATTTAATATACCTTATCTCAGTAACTAACACTGCTTTGTAAGGCTGCTAGATGCTGATATACATTCTGGTTAATTGATTTCAGGGTTGTTTTGCCTCAAACCTTATTACTAGAAAGCCACCAGTCTTTTGCCTTCAGCAAGGAAAGTGAAATTTTACATTTGTGAAATTTACATTTACTTACATTTACTTCAGCTATTTGTTAGCTGTTTTTGAAGCAATTTTCAAAGATTATTTAGCTTGCTTTAATCTGTGTTTTGAGTGGCAAGCACGGCTATTTGAAATTGCTACTTTTTGCCTACGGATAATATCCATATCCCACTTTTCTCATGGTTCCTAGATATGTTTTCTTTCTATTGTTTATTACATATAATTCATCCATTATTTTCCCTAATTCATTTTAAAATTTCTAAAATGTGTATTCCTACCTTTATACTTCATCATGGCAATTCAGATATTTTCATTCTCCAAAATGTTGCACTAATAGAACATATTGCCTTCAATTAAAAGTAAAAGACCTTAAACTGTTTTAAAATAGGTTGAATTTTTCAAATTACTCCATATCTTCTATTAAAACTATTGGTGATTTTCCATAAATAAAAGGTAAAGCACTGTATCTAGAAATACTAGTCAGAATTTAGGATTAATAAAGTATCAGAATGATCTCCTCAGTACTTGGAATCCAGATTCTTTAAATTGAGCACTGGCGAAAAATTATACAATTATCTGTTTCGGCTATACCTTTGATGATTTTGAAGCCACTTTCTTCACTGATCTTGTTTTAAAGCCCTGTTTTGAAGCAGACTTCAGTTGCAGTTTTGGAATACCTTGTTTCACTACTTCTGCCCAAGACTTCGCAACTAAAACAACAATTGTTGAAGATTATTCACCTTAATCATTTTTAATATCCGATAATCAAATTATACTGTGTTTGAAACATAAAATGTTTAAATTCTAGCAATAGATACAATTGTAACACACCCATCAAGTTGGCTTCAGAAGCACCACTTCGTCTTTTGGAGTGAATAGTACCCATAACTCCACTTTTTCCACGTGTAGAACTTCTTCTTGGAGTACAGGGTTTGCTCCTTAATGATGAAGTGGCGCTGGATACTGTTTTTTTAACTTCACTGAATAAGCTATTCATAGGCATCTCTTGTGTAGTGGTTTCCTCACTCTCTGAAGGCTGACTTGTAACATGAGGATCAGAGATGAATTGTTGCTTCTGGGGTGCACTATGTGAGTCAGCTTGCCTTGACACAATCTTTTCATATTGCTTTCTCTCAAAGGAACCCTGCAGGAAAACAAATAGGTAACACACACACACACACACACAAAAATCAAACTTTAGATTTTGGACAAACAACAATCATATTTATTTCCTTCAGAACTTATCAGAATGAATTAAACAATTAGATATTCACAAAAAAAAAAAATCCCCACAATATTTTGTGGCTTTGCTTTTGAAGACTATGAGGATATTACAATTAATCCAGAGCGGGGCAGCATGTTTTAGGTTCCAATAATGGGAGCAAATTACACATACATTGAACAACTTGCACTGGTTACCATTTCAGCTCCAACTACAATTTAAAGTGCTAGTGTCAATATTCTTCATAACTTGGCGCTCGGGTATCTATGGAAGATCCTCCTCTAACCAGATTTTACACAATCAATTACATCATTTAGAGAGGGGCTTTTTGTTTTTTGTAGCAGCACCAAATTATGGAAAGTAGATCCCTCGGATAGATTTTAGGAACTTACTGAAAATGGAGAATGATTTTAACAGCATTTCAGTAATATCACCAGTACCTCTTGTAATTCTTCCTTCTCACTTCAATTTTGGTTTTCCAATTTAAATTGTATTTTTTTTTCATTTTGATTTTTTTACAGTAACATTCTAACCAATAATAGTCCAAAATACTGTGATGGTATAAAAATCAAATAAAATCACACTACTTAGCTCTAAACCTTTTTTCATTTGCCAATCTTTTAATATATATTAAAATTAACTTCTTTTCAAATCTATTTTCAAAATAATAACATTCATCTTTAATTTTATGAAATTATGAAAAGATATGAAGGAGTAGATAAAAAAGGAGAAGTCAGCTATTTTTAGGCATTGTCCCATCTTCATCAGACCAGATCTGGACATTCTGGAGATGGTCAGCAGTTTTTTGGGAAATAAATAATCCAGAGCAAGGAGTGATTCTAGCCCTGGAGCAGACCTCCTTGGAATGCTGTCCCCAAAGACAGAACTTTCTGAATTACTTTCCAGGTATCTAGAAACATTTCCAAGCTCTCCACTTTTCTGTGAAATAATTTTGAGAAATTTGCGTTCTCAAATAAGTATTTAGTAAGCTTTAAAGATGAATGTTATTATTTTGAAAATGCCCCAATTAAAAAATAAAAGTCAACAGTATAAATTCTGATTTCAAACATCTTATATAAAGCTACATTTGTAGGTAATCCACAATAACCAAAGGTGGCTACTTGTATTTCTGCTGGAGAGTTTTGTTTTTTTTAAACAGAATATGAAATATTTACCCAATTTTGTTTTGGGAGTTTCTAACAATAGGGATAAATATTTTATCAACAGATTTATCGATTTTATTCATTAAATTTATTTTCTACCCATCTTGCCATTACACTACTCTGAAATAAAATAGCCAAATTTTTAAATAGAAGAAGCATTCAGGTGCAATATATCACCAACTCCTCTCAGAAATAATTCTAGAGAAATATTTAGGTGTACTAAGAAGTGCATAGCTTACATTCCTCCTTCCCATTCCCAAAATATTTCTCAATTCTATGATTTAAAATTTCTGATCAATTGTTTTAACATAATAATACAGATACATTATTTAAAATACAAAGCTTTCAGTATGAATAGTGAAGTTTAGACAAACATATGTATACATGTTGTGGGATCAAGAGCAATTCTTTGATTCAAAGGTAAATATCCCTAGCAATTAGTTGTTCTGTCAATCAATCCCTTACCTGTATTACAGACTGACTTAATTCTGCAGCTTTTTTCAGAACTGCTCGTGGTGAGTTTCCAAATGGCATACTTAGTCTCGCTGGAATGGCTCCTTTTTTAAGTGGCGAGTTTGGAGGTAAGCGCTTATCAAAGAGTTCAGGACTCAATTGACCACCAAAAGAAACTCTCTTCCTCTTTCCAAGGGATTGGACTAGAAAATCTAGTTCTGTACCTCTACGCTTTTGAGGTGATTTCTTAGCCTCTATAAATGAATAGTAAATTATAGCAAAGTGAACACAATGACTTTCATCATTACTACAATTAAAAAGTTTGCACTCAGAATTGTTTAATTTTAAAAAAATACTATAAACTTTTTACACTTTTGGTATCAATATTTTCAATCATAACTAAGGCACTAACATTTCAAACAACTGAATCTGTTTCTACTAACAATATCAAACAAGCCACTTAACTGACAGAAAAAAATAAGCTGGTAATTTTTTATCTTAACCAAAATTACTGGGGTCAGCAAATAACAACTATAATTTTTTGATATAAATTGTATTTACCTGACTTTTTATTAAGTGGACATAAAGCATTCATTTCAGAGACAGCATTAACCCTGGCTGATGTTTGCACTCTGCTTTCATAAGAACTGGAAAAAGTAGATATATCGTTTTTCATATTAATATTCTGCTCATGCTTTTCTGTTCCTATTTTATTTTCATTTGTAGGACACTTTGTTTCCAAGTTTTTTTTCAGGAATCTCATTTGCCATTATTTCACTGGTTTGGGAAAGATCTGCTGGGATTATCGATTCTTTATCTATTGCCTCTGTACAAGAATATTCATTTGAAATAATTTTATTTAGTTCAATGTTATTGCAGTTTTCACTAGTATTAAGATGAAGTGAACTGAAATCAGTACTAGAATTTCCATCTTCTGAATCTTTCAGATTTAGCACTGCTTCTGTAACCAGTTCTCTATTTTCATTTGTTTTAGAAGATATATTTTCAATCAAAATACCAGATTCATGCTCCTGCCCACTAACTTGTACGGGACACTCTTTCATTTCTTCAGAGCTCTTCATTTTGTTCAGAGAATCTCTTTCAACCCCTGTTCTTCTGGACCTAGAAGATCTTCGAGGCATTCTAGAACATGGACTGGAATAATTTTGAGTACTCTCCTTGTTATGTCCCTGGGACTCTCCACAGTCCCCACTCAGGTCCGCTCAA